ACTGTTTTACCATGGAAACTCTCATGTGTCCCAAAGAACTTTTGCATGGGGTGTATGTGTGTGTGCATGTGTGTGTGAGCTACTGAAGGCTATTTTCCTTTGGAGAAAGCATTCTGAGTAGGAGATAACATCAGTTTTACATCAACTTCTGTTTTTAACACTTTCCCTTAAATGGTTGTGATAATTGAAATCTCAAGGCAGTCATTGAGCAGCCCCTAAATGGAAGACAGCAGAGTTGCTGGATTCTGGTCTGGAAAGTGCCCTGTGCATGTAAGAAGCTGTGGAAGTCGTGAGAGGTGACCTCATGGAGGGAGAGGAAGAGTGTGAGCATGCAGGACACAGATGATCTGGGCTCAAAGAAGCAGGGGAAGTTCAGACACTTGAGATGCACAGAGAGGACATTCAACTGGGCAGAGGGAGGTGCAGGTATCAGTAGCTCTGAGGCTAAAATGTGCCCTGGGAGCTGGAGGATGGTGGAGTGGGCAGGTATGGTGACACATGAAGCAGGTGGATGGATGTTGGATAACAGATAATAAGACAAAAATATGGGGTATTTTTTCCTAATTGAAACTATAGCATAAAATGTATGATGCTATATTCATTTGCTCTGAGTGGACATATCTTCTGTCTGAGAAGGAACTTGGCAAACAAAATGGACAAACTTTACAGAAACAAGGACATCTTGCAGTTCCAGCCTCAGGAATAAGCATCCCCTTTTGTCGTCAAATTTTCATTATGGTGTATTGAGGTAAAACTGAAGATTTAAATGTGCATATAGGGAAAGGGCAGGAAGCTGTTGTTCAAATGCAGATTTTGGTGGTTTGTTGTTTTAAGTTCCGTGGCTATTGGAACTAAAAAGAGGAAGAAATAAAAACATTTGAAATAAGAATTAATATTGTAATGCCTACATTAACAAATTGGTAACATCAAATACATGTGTCTTCAAAATATGAGGTAATGCCTTTCTCGATACAAATTTAACACTGGGAACCTAATCTGGAAAGCTGTGCTTATATTGGTTCACCTTGTAAGGCCTTGCACGTATACGCATGTAAATGAGCTATGGGACAAGAAAGACAAGGAAGGGGCGCAGATGTTTGAAGGTAGTGTTTACTTACAGTGAGGATTTTCTGCACATGCATATTTATTGACAGAGGACGATGTTAACAGAACATAGATTTTAAACACGTGGTTACAAAACCCTGTGTAAGCAGCCATTTAAAAATAAATGTATGCATGGAAAAATATATATGGAAAAGAAAGTCCTAAAAGAGATACAATTGATATCCTCTTGGAGAGTAAGCACCCTAGCTAAAGAAAATTCCACAAGAGACCATAACTAATTATTACTTCATCTGCAGCCCCTTGTTCAGTGGCAGATACAATGTATGTGCTCAACAAATTCTTTGCAAAGCTGATTGAGTCTCTAGAAATGGAATTCCTGATGGCTTTCGTTTTTGTTTCTTATTTTGTTTATATAGTTTTTCTAATTTTTCTACAACAAACCTGTATTACTTGTGTTCATGAAAATAAAATAAAAATAGAATTACTTTCTTCTAACTTAATTTAAGGTTGAAGTATTTGACATCTAGGCAAAGACCAGTCAGCTCTCCTGGATTTTTGCATGAATCTCATTATGCCCAATAGCACAGTAACATGTTGGGAATCCACCGTTCAATATTCTTCGCCTAGGAAGATAGTATGGAGCTAGCAGTAAGGTACTGAAGGAATAACAAAACCACTAGATGGAGGTTGAAGAGAAAGTGCACCACAGTAGAGGCTCTCTTTTAATTAATCAGCCACTCTGCCTTTAAATACAGCATATTGTCTTCCATGTCAGGAACATGGAGGGAAAACACGTAGTATGTTTTGTTCAATGTTAAATCCACATCACTTAACATAATGGTCAGGATAGTTAAAAAATCAAAACAATTATGCAAACATGAATGAATGAGTAACTTCTGCTAGCAATGATGGTTGGTTTCCCAAAGACATGAAAGTCAGAATTTGAGGTGAAGGGTCCCAGAGATGTTATTGAACATTTTCTTTTCTTAATTTCCTTCTCCAGCTGTGCCAGGGATACTAAGCAATGAGATGAAAACCCACCATTAAGTGTGTATGTGTGTGTCTGTGTCTTGAATAGGGCAGTTGGTAAGCAGTTTCACTTGCACTCCTAAAGACCCCACAGTTTATGCACAACAGTTATCAGAAGAGTACTTGTTGATATTGACGTATTGATAACCTTAATAATAACTAATGATTAAAAATGAGCCAATGACTTCTGTCTTCTTTGGGGCTTTTTAGAATGAAATAGATGCCTTGATTTTATACAAGTTGTGTGTTTCTCTTCTCACATCCTTGTTCCCAGTTATAACAAATAAATCATACACATAGACAAAAAGTCTTCATGAGTTAAGTTAGGGAATTAGAAAAGACTGATGTGGAATTGGCATTGGATAACAAAGAGGACATGACTGGGATAAAGGGTTTGAATTAGTTGAGTAAAGGTTGCAGTATGGTGAACAATGGTATGTTTAGCCAATCTGAGTGCAGCATGTGGTATGAGTGTGAAAGGAAGTGCACATACAAATCAGTGGGACGCAGGGTCCTGGAAACATAAGGTTAAATAAAGTAGGCAGTTTGTAATCTTCAAGAATGCCTTTATATTCAGTGCTGTATATCCAGCACATACTGCAGTGCCTGATACCACAGTGGATGCATAATATTTGCTGTGTGAATGAATGAATGAACAGATGAGTGAGTGAGAAACAAGAAGATACACTGAGGTTTTCTGGGCTACAAAAGAGACCTACAGTGTGTTTGGAAGCTGATTTTTTTTTATATAAAATAGGGAACATTTTGAAAGGCATCCCAGACCTGAGGGCCCATGGCCTACCTAGAAGGGAGTCTAGAAATGGGGATAGGTGAAAAAGGCCATTGTACATATATGGAATGAATGAGCAAGAAAACAATCCACTACTGAGAGTGGGTGCAAAGAGAACCTGCTGGGCCTTCCCACTGCACGTGGGGAAGCTGAAGAGTTCAGAGCAGTAGGGTCTGGGACATGAGAGGAAGGAGAAAAGCAGAAGGATGCCTGGCTCATGTCACTCTCTCAGGCTGCATCTTTGTTCATGATGGTGTTGGCACCGTCTTCCTACATCTGCGGGGGAAGCAGCACCGATACCTCTCTAAATTGGTAGCTGGACACAGATGGTAATGGAAACTGTAACAACAGGTGATCACTTAAGGGGTTAAGTAAAGAGGACAGGCAAGAACAGCATGCTGTGAACCATAATTTGGAAGACAGGAGAAGATTCAAAAGACTTTAATACTGAACCCAAGAGAGCTGCAAGGGAAAGAAATGACCTATAGTGTTGCAAGGACATTGCAGTTAAAGAAAATGGAATATTTTAATTTTAATACCGTGAAGAGGGGGCTGGAATGAAGTAGGGAAAGTATATACAAATAGAAATGAAATTGCTATCACAGAATACAAAAATTGGATCTTAACCATTTAAAACAGCAATGAACATGAGATGAATGAATGTTTCCCGAGTTGCTATAAGCTGTTTCTGCGTAAAAGATTTATTAATGGACACATTGTGACTGTGCGACCTCTCTCCCGATATTGAACTATTTAAATACCAACTTCTTTTAATAAATGTAGGAAACCTTTGGAAAGCCAGGTTTTTCAAACTTTGTGTACTGTCTTATGAAGGACACTTCAGTAAACAGAAAAAAGAGATATTGGCTTATAAAAACATAATAGTGATAAGGCTAAGATACACAGAAGCAATTTCCTATCAAAATAATAAGCTTACCTAGGATACTTAAATATCCCTACTGGTTTTTATCAGAGGAATAATAGGTCTGCCGTATGCAGTTATATTGATTCAACATGAATGAAGGCATAAAACAATATTTCTGTTTGTAAATGAACATTACAATCAACCACCTAAAATTAATTTTGAATTCCTCATGTGTTTGTAACTTAAATTTACTTTACTTTACTACTTGATATAATATTTAATGTATTAAATCAATGAAATTTCTAGAGATCCAGGAGCTACTTGTTGAGTTTTTATATATGTGTGGATTAGCCAGGTATCTTTGGAGCTTAGATCATTTCTTGGGCACTGTTTGATTAAGTCGCACCTGGGAGCAGGTAAAGTGACGGTAAATGTGAGTGACAGCTAATGTCATTCAGTTTTAATCACACTGTTTTGGTTGGTCAGATAAAACTAAAGTGGGAATTTTTAAAAAACAATAAATTCTGGACATGTATTTTTCTAGATAAACAAATCCATAATCAAAAATCATTTTTGCTTTAGATGGCGTATTGATAATAAAGGTGCATGGAATTCGTATGCCCATTGTCTCCACTGCTCAGTGAAAGAGGACTTGTGGAAAGATCTATAAAATTCCTCATATAATCTTTGAACTACATGGTGAAACCACTCTTTTACTTGCTCCTTTGTACTGTCATCTTGAAGGATTTCTAAAAGATTCTATGTACACTCAGTATTTGGATGTATAGGAGACTGTCATTGAAGAGGCATCTCAAATTGAGGCCACCAGAGTTCCTTCCCCACTACCAGTAAATCAGAGAGAGAGAAAAAAAAAACCACTTTAAATACTCTGCATATATTTACATGGGATATCAAAGAGTTCCAAACTCCAATTATATAACATAAATTAATTAGTGCAGCCTACTGCAAAGCCCATATTCAAACTCAATATTCAGGGCAATAACAGCCTGGAAATACCTAGCATGTCTTAAAGCCAGTTAGCTTTTTTCTTCTGGGAATATGAGGTGTATCAGTCTGTTTTCACCCTTCTATAAAGAAATGCCTGAGACTGGGTAATTTATAAAGGAAAGAAGTTTAATTGACTCCATTCTGCATGGCTGGGGAGGCTTCAGGAAACTTGCAATCATGGTGGAAGACACCTTCTTCACAAGGCAGCAGGAGAGAGAAAGAGTGTGTGAAGTAGGAACTGTCAAACACTTATAAAACCCATCAGATCTTGTGAGAACTCACTCACTATCATGAGAACAGCATGGGGGAAACCGCCGCTGTAATTCAACCCCTCTCTCCACACGTGGGGATCGTGGGGATTATAATTCAAGATGAAATTTGGTGGGGGACACAGCCAACCCATATCAGGAGAGTTAGGCAGAGATACCTGACCAGGTAGATAAAGGAGCACGTAATGATGGAGGTAGGCGCTCAATACAGGCAATCAGATTTGGAGCTGCTTTGTTCTGAGTTTCTGTATTTTATTCTCTTTTCCAGTGAAAACTGCATCTGCACACACACACACACACACACACGCACACACACTGCAAACATGTTCTTGTTCTTTTTGAACTCCGGTGAGGACTAAGTGGCACCCATTGTCCTTAGTTAGGTTTCTTTCTCTAGATCCATGGAGCACCGGATAGGAGAGCCAGTGAACCCGCCTGATGTTAAAACTGCAGGGCTACGTTTTCGTTTTCCTGGCTCGGCACAGCTGTGCACTGCCTGAAGCGCTCTTCTTCTCTGTTACCTGCCTTGAGAAATTCTCTTAATAGTCCTCAGCTTCAGCATGGTCAACTCTAAACCCCTTACGCGTTGTAGTCAAACAGAGCTTATTTTAAATTTCAAGTTTGCTTGGATGGCCTTGGACAAGTTATTACCTGCCTTGAGGCTGGCTTTTCTCGTGCATGTATAAGAAGATGAGATTTTTTTTTTTTAATTTTTTGGTTAGGGCTGTTGTAAAGATCAAATAAAATATAATTACTAAGTATCCCAAACATAGTATATATCCGTAGCCATTAGTTCCTCACCTTCCTTTAAGACTCAATCCAAGTGCTAATCAAATGGGAAGTCTCACAGTCCACTCAGGGATCTTCAGGTACCACCTGCCTTTATAACAGTTCTTCTCACATTGTATTGCACTTACTTGCTATTTGAGTCCTGAGGACTGACATACAATAGCCCCCCTTCAAGTGACTGCTGAGTTGTGGAAGGCGATAGCAATGGCCACAAGGAGGTGATGTCTGTCACAGGATGTAGATGTTTCAGAATTGTGGAAATTTAAGCAGTAAGCTGGCATCTCATCTCCCACCTCAATGTAATTTCATGAAAAATTTACTTCAGAGTAGCTGGAAGAATTTAGATAATTACTGCATTCATTTAAAAAAATCTCCTTTTAGAGGAGGTTCTTCCCGCATTCTTTCTGGCCTCACTCCCCTCTGGGGAGGACAAAATTGGGAAATCAGCTTGGGACTACTGTTGGAAGTAAGAGACGTCTGTGAATGTCATGTTAAATTAACACTGGGGAAATCATGGGGAAGATCTGTGCATTTCGTCTGTATTAGTCAGCAGTGTTCCAGCACAGAGCACCTGTATGTGGAGACAGCTTTAGGTATAAGAGCATATATCTAAAAAGATTTTCCCAATAATGTGTCTGCCCTAAGAAGCAAACCATTTTACTCTATCTATTCTAAATCACTAGCCTCTAAACTGCTTATGAAGTGCATAAAATAATCTATTGCATTGGGAGAAAAAAAATCAAGCTTCTATTGGTATTAATTTTGTCTCATCCTTTTAAGTTTCTATTTTCATGTGTTCTTTATACACTATGGAATAGAACACATGTATGCCTTACAAATACATAGATCTATGTGGGGAACTCAATTTTTTGATGAGAGGAAAGATGGTTTAGATGACAAATACAACTTTTCCTTTTCCCAGACTGTGGTTTTGTGCTTGCTCACCAAAGCTAACCTCAGCATGCTCAAAAGGAAGCAGAGTTCCAGGGTGGAAGCCCAGCCAGTCACTGACTTTGGTCCTGATGAGTCTCTGTCGGATAACGCTGACATCCTCTGGATTAACAAACCAGTAAGTTTCTTCTTTAAGTATGGAGAAGCGTAAGTGGATGTAAGAGAAATTTGATTGACAAATGCAAATATCATGTACCTTTGGCTTCAAAATATCTGAGCTGCAGTAGAATATGGATGAGGTTCAGAGTCTGGAAGTAGAGAACAATCCAATGAAATAGTGAGATGTTGCTATGAGTTACTCACATGGAAAGATGCACCAGGTGGTCCAATCCGCTCCTCTCCCCTCCCCACACTGCACCCTGTCCTCAGAGTCCCGCAGTGTAGTGATGATACCACTGCTCAGGCTGATCCAAATCTGGGGTCCATGATGAGCAACCTGTTCTTAACGAACTTCCTTTACTTGTTGTCAACGTGCCTGAATCCATGAGACAATAAGCACATGTTTGGAATTAAAGGTCTCCTTCTGATTTGCAAGTTTTGAGTAAAAGGTCAATGAGATAATGGATAGTATCTCTGAAGAATTTGTCACCTTTGCCGCCTAATTAAGTTGATGAGGATTTGAGAGGAAGAACTGCTAGGCTAGGCACCACCGTATGCCAGAAAGCATAGCAACCAGAGCTAAGTCTGACAGGCATGCATGTCCGTGAGTGTTGAAAACTCAGCTCTGCAAAACCAAGCAGGATCAACTTCTTACTCATCTCATGGTTGATGCCGAAGTAACAAAAGGAAATGACCTGTTGCCTCTTGCAGTGCTTGTCTTTCCCCTAACCATGATATACACAGGATCTGCTTGGACTCTTTGCTGTCCTTCCCAATCTGTCTTCCTCTAATCTGCCCTCCAGATTCCTTCCCCAGCCTGCTCACATTTCTTTACCTATTTCTATTTTTATTCACATCACCCTCTGCTTTATAATCATGGAAACATCTGTATTACCTTCATTACAAATTAAAATCTGTTAGTATGACATTCCTGCTTCTTTTCATTCAGGACCTAACCTGTCCAGTAACTGCTCCTTTCCCATGTCAGCACAACATCCACTCAAGCCCCATCAGCAGACTCCTACTCCTCTAGGCTCTCTGGCTTGTTCACATTGCTTTCCTTTGCTCGTACTGCTCCCTGGCCCCAGTGACCCTTTCCCGGCTCCTCTGATGAGTCAAATCCTCCTCATCCATTAGGACTGGCTGAGGTGTCACCCCTGGCATCCTCCTCTGAAAGGTTTATTTCTACCACAGACGGAATGACCCTCTCTTCTCTTTCCACTTAGCCTGTTTTATATTTGTATATAAATACAATGTTATCTATAAATAACTGTATTTTTATATACATCATATGTGTATATTTACATTATATACATTGTAGATCATGTATATATAATACATATATTTATGGCTCTATTGTCTTATGTATATATACATGTTATATGCACATACGTATAAACATATAACAGGTTATATAGATATCACATATATACACATTACATATACACATATATGTGTTAACACTATGCATATTACCTATACATATAAATGTCATGTATGTATAACATATATACTTGTTATATATGCGTATGTGTTAGATGCATGTAAGATATACATATATGTATACATGCATATAACATGTGTGTGTAATATGTGCATGTGTTATATACATGAGACAATATACATAATATATGTATATTATGTCTTATCTAGAACATGTTTTATAATGTTGTATAATATAACATGTTTTTGCCTCTTGCAGTGCTTGTCTTTCCCCTAACCATGATACATGCAGGATCTGCATGGACTCTTTGTTTTCCTTCCCAGTCTGTCTTTCTCTAACCAGCCCTCCAGACTACATGTATTTACATGTATGTGTATATACACATAACGTATTATATACATACATATAACATGCTATGTGTATATACACACATTTTTATATATATAATACATTCAAAGGTGTTTTTACTTCTTGGACTGCAAAATAGGAGTCAGAAGTGTGTTGCTTCCATGTTTTGTTTCCCGCACCCAGCATTCTGACACATAGTAGGCCTTTGTTCACGCTTAGAGAACTGAATGGAATAGAGAATGAAGCGCCCCTAACTTTTTCTTAGTGTCCACCTTACTACAGAACTTTCTGTGAAGTTATGAAGAAGGTAGTATCAAAGATGTAGCCTTGGAGGCACTTACTAAAATTACTAATGCTTCGTTAAAATTCTGTCTTTAAACTAAAAACGGGTTTGTTGTTGAAGAACCTATATTTGGAAACTGTTTTGTGTAATTAGATTCTTTACGTTGAAAGTCCAGATGGGGCTAAATTCACACACCGATGTTTATTGAAGTGCTTCCAAATTGCATGAAAGATACATCAACCCTTAAAGTAAATTGAATCATCAGTGGCTTGTGTGTTATGGAATTAGCAGCATAATATCTTCATGTAAATATTATAACTGTCAGATAAATATTGTAACCTACTCATCAGCTGAAAGTTCTGACAGTCTTTTCTGTTTTTCATCTTGAGTGTTTGCTAGTATACATAGCTGCAGAATCCGTCTACCACAAACCTAATTTTTTTTCAGAGACTATAATATCAAAGAATTATCATGATTTCATATAGGTCCAAGATAGTCAATAAAAACATATTTGGATTACGTTTAAGAATTGTGTACTAATTGATTAACTGGTGATATTAATTGTGTGGGTTTAGCATGGAGATGCAGTTAAGTGTTTTTTTAACCCTAGATATTAGTTTTTGTAATAAAATATTGAGTATGAGTGATTGTATGTCCTGTACATATATTCGTGTAAACACAAACATACTTATCTTTAATTCTTTCTTCTTATTTTGGGGTTAAAGAAAATCTTCAGATAGCAGACATGCCTCTAGTGTTGCACAGAAAGTTATTTTACGGAATTTTGAAAGATGTATGGGCTAAATTTGTATAAAATATGTTCTCCAAAATAAAGAGAAAAATCTATTCATTATTTTGTTAAATGTAGGATGACACCAGATTTTTAAAAAGTTTCTTTGTATTTTTATACAAAGACATTATACATAAGATACAAATAGAAAGGAAATTCTAAATATGGGATGTGTTATGTATCAATTCATTTAAAAAGCATTTCTCATCTACTATGATAGGCCCTTGTGTGAGATGTTAGGGAAGTTACAGTAAATATAGTATGACCCCTAATTCTAGGTACTTATAGTACAAAAATAAAAAAAAACTAATGGCACATCAAGTTCCTATGTGACTAAATTACAAACACATATTTTAATTGAAACAGAATCTTCCTATATTGTAGTCCGATGCCAGGAGGTTATCAAATATTTTGGGGAGCCTGATCAGGTTCCATCTAGGCTTTGGGTCTTTGTGGTGCGTGACCCCAGAAATGCTTCCACCTTTCTATCTTAATGTGTTTATGTGGAAAATAGGTGGCTTGAGAATTAAATGATATAAAAACATGTGAAAATATTTTAGCACATTATATGCACTTAGATGTTAGTTTTCTTCTTCTTCAACTCCGTGTTAGTGAACTATTTTAACTTCCGTATTATGTTTTCCACTTAGTGTGGTTCATAATACAAGTTTGAGATTTCAGTTATGGCACCATGTAATAACTCTGGACCATCGTTGCAGTGGGTTCACTCTTTGCTGCGCATCTGTGCCATCATCAGCGTCATTTCTGTTTGTATGAATACACCAATGACCTTCGAGCACTATCCTCCACTTCAGTATGTGACCTTCACTTTGGATACATTATTGATGTTTCTCTACACAGCAGAGATGATAGCAAAAATGCACATCCGGGGCATTGTCAAGGTAAGCATTCCCATGTCATTTAAACTAAGAACCTAAATGCATCGAAAATCTTAATCCGTTTATCATATTTGCATGTTCATTTCAGTGAAACAAAACATCATTTTATCTTATACATATTGAAGACCTTTTTAAAAAGGCGTAACTCCAGAGATTGGGAGAAATTGTAGCATGAGAGTATTTTAAAAGTTAAATAAATTTTATAAGACACAAAGTCTTGGAATATCTGGGAAGGAACAAGATGGTTTGACTAATAGCTGTGTGAAGTCCAGAGTAGGGTTATTCATGCCACCTAGGGCTGAGCCCGCCACCCAGCACAGGGGCTGGCCCAGAGAAGCACCTTATTTTTTGTTGGCTTATGGAGTGCAGCATCAGAGTCACATGGTAGAGTTAGAGCATGATAATACTGTAGCAGGATGTCATTTACTTGATGTGTTTTGAAGATACGAAAGTGGGGGGAGGGGAAGGACATGAGATGGTAAAAATTTCTGGGACCAAAAGGAAAATAATATGTCATGTGAAATTAGTAACAATTGGAAACAAAATAAATATAAAAATTTTTAATTGGAAAACAAAGGAAAAGAAAAAAAGAAAATTTCTGTCACTGGATGTCTTTTCCTTTTGTAGCACTGATCTTTACATAGGTTAAACATATGTAGATGATGCTGTCCCTAGAGTATTTAAAATTGTACTATTTGGGGAAACAGTAATAGCAGTGCAGATTTTAGGGTTTGGCAAATGACAGACGACTCAGATCCTAGTTCTTTCACTTACTGTTGTATCAGCATCTCAAGTTAGCTAATTTTGGTGGGAAAGTGTTTTATTTTGTACAAGGATTTTGAAAATCTACTGAGACAATGTAATGATCAGTCAATTTCATTGCTTCCCTTTTATACATAATTCATTGTGTACCATCCTTGAAAGACAGAGATCACAGACAATGCATTACCAGGTTCATGTTTAACTTTTTATTGTGGACTTTAAAAAATTTACCCCAAAGTATATTACAGTTATAATGTGAATCCCTGTAACTAAACATCAACAGTTATCAATATTTAGCCAATTCTGTTTCATTTTAAAGCAAATCTGAGAAACCAAGTCATTTCAGAAATCATTCCTTTTGTATTGATGACTGATAACATTTTCTTTTTTATATAATCACCATACCATTATCATATATAGCAATATTTCATATATGATAAAATATTTGTAACAAGACTTAGCAATAATTCCATAGTGTAGGCTAATACGCAATCCATGTTCATATTTCCCGAATTGTCACAAATTTTTTTTAATAGTTGGTTTCTTCAAATCAAGACTCAGACATGGTTTACATAGTATATTTGATTGTTTTTGTTTTTGTTTTTGAGATGGAGTTTCACTCTTGTTGCCCAGGCTGGAGTGCAATGGCACGATCTCGGCTCACTGCAACCTCTGCCTCCTGCATTCAAGCGATTCTCCTGCCTCAGCCTCCCGAGTAGCTGGGATGACAGGCCTGAGCCATCACACCTGGCTAATTTTGTATTTTCAGTAGAGATCGGGCTTCGCCATGGGGGTCTCGAACTCCCGACCTCAGGTGATCTGCCCGTCTCACCCTCCCACTTATGTTTCTTAAGTCTCCTTTAAGTCTCTGTAAGTCCATTAAGTTTCAGCTTTTCACATCCTGCAGAAAAATTATCTGGGTCATTGATCCATAGGGAAACATGTGTCTTTTGTCTTGTGGAAGATTCTACATTTGAGATTTGGCTGATTGCTTCCAGATGGTGCCCTTTAATAGTTTCTGTGTACTCCATGTCCTCTGAACTGCTTTGTATTTTGACCAGCAATGCCCACAGGTGCTTCTTTCCCACGTGGTCACCGCAAAATATGTCAGACTTCTGGATATTTGCCAGTCTGAAGGGTGGGAAACGGTAATCCACTGTAGTTTTAATTTGCATTTCCCTTTTGAGAGTGAGGTTAAGCGGGATTTTATGTCTCAAGAGCCATTTTTAAGTTACATTTTTTCATTCAAATTTTGGCCACTCTGTGTGTGTTAGAAGTATCAGCCCTTTGTGCTATAACTTGCAATTGTTTTTCCCAGTTTGCCATTGTCATTGGCTTGGTTCATGGTTATTTGTACCATACACAATTCTTATCCACATCATGGACAGACTTTCCATTGTCTGCATTTTACGTCATACAGGAGTGTTTTTTAGGTTTCCTCATATAGATTTTGCACATTCTTAGTTATATTTATGCTTTGGTATTTTATGTAATTATTTTGTTATCTGTATGAGGTCTTATCTTCCATTACCTATTCTAACTTGTCCTTTTAAATGAAGGCTGTTGGTTTCTATACATTAATATTATATTCTGCTACTTTACTAAATGTACTAGATTCTTGTATTAGTCGTAATAGTTTTCCCACTAATTCTTTTGATGCTTCCATATCATCATATCATATGCAAGTAAAGAAAGATTTGTCTTTTTCTTTCTAATTTTATGCCACAATTGCTTTTACTTACTGAAAGTAAAATAAATGAATTGACTAACACTGTCGGTAAAATTTTAATAGTAATAGAGGTAGTGAACATTTTTGTTTCATTTTGGTTTATCTAGAACACCTCTAGTGTTTCTTCATTAACTAGTTTGAAAAATTGGGGTTTGAAGTATGTATATATTATCAGATTAAGTGAATAAACATTAATTTCACATTTTGAGAGTTGTATCATGACTAGCTTTTTAATTTGTCAAATGATTATTTTTAATTTGTCAAATTACTATTTTTTCCTTAGTGCTTGTAATAGAAGAGATTTTTAAATATTGAGTTATCCTTCCGTTCCTATAAAGAAAAATCCCTACTGCGTCAACATACATTTTTATTCTATTTTAATGTGCTGTTTTGTTATATATGTTTTATTTTCCTTGTTTTAAATTTGGTCTAATCTTTGCCAGGTTTTGATATTAGATTTTTCATGTCTATGTAGGTGGTGGGCATGTATGCGTGCTATAAAATAGTCTGAGCACTCTTGAATTGTTTTCGCTTTAAAAAGTTTGGTATAAACCACCTGTGAAACCATCTGGTCCTGCTGCTTTTTTGTGGGGCTTCCTTTGTGGTATTTCCTATTTCTTCTATGGAAATTAGCTGTTTTATTTTTAGTTTTATTTTATGTTGTTTTGTTTTGTTTTCTTTTTGAGACGGAGTATCGCTCTGGTCGCCCAGGCTGGAGTGCGGTGGCACAATCTCGTCTCACTGCAACCTCCGCCTCCTGGGTTCAAGCTATTCTCCTGCCTTAGCCTTCCAAGTAGTTGGGACTACAGGCACATGCCACTGTGCCAGGCAAATTTTTTGTATTTTTAGTAGAGATGGGGTTTCACCATGTTGGCCAGGATGGTCTTGATCTCCTGACCTTGAGATCCACCCGCCTCGGCCTCCCAAAGTGCTGGGATTACAGGCGTGAGCCACCGTGCCAGGCCTATGTGTTCATTTTTTAGTAGAGACAAGATCTGGCTCTGTTGCCTAGGCTGGAGTACAGTGGTGCAATCATAGCTCACTGCAACCTCCAACTCTTGGGCTCAAGAGATCCTCCCACCTCATCCTCCCATGTAGCTGGGACTACAGGTGTGTGCCACCATGTGTGGCTGATTTTTAAAACTTTTTTTAAGAGAGAGGGTCTTGCTATGTTGCCCAGGCTGGTCTCCAACTCCTAGGCTCAAGCGATCCCCCCACCTTGGCCTCCCAAAGTGCTGGGATTACAGGTGCGAGTCACGGTGCTCAGTCACAATTGTCTGTTTTGAACTTGCTTGGTCTACTGGGGTCTATTTGGTGAAGTATATTTTCTTAGGAAATTATCCCCTATTTATTTTGTTTAATTATTTGGTAACATAGATTTGTGTAAATAGCTTTTATTTCCTCTGATTAATATTTTCTCCTGATTTTGTATTTTTTTGTTATTTCGATTAGAGTTTTTTGTTGTTAGGTTGGCTAGTAGTATTTTTTGTATGTTTTGTTTCATTTTATTTTAGGTTAGCCAATTGGTTTACTCATTTTGTTGATTTTTTTTTTTGAAGAAGAATCAGCTTAATTAATTAATTTAACTCAATTAATTTTTGTTTTATATTTAGTAGTTTCCTTGTTTTATTTGGTTTACTTTGCTGGTCTGTTTCTAACTTTTCAAAGGCGTTTGTCTCACATTTTCATTTCTCGGGACTCTTAAATCTGCTGCTTCCTTGCCTTGTGGTTAAAATGTTAACCACAAGGATAATGTTAGCCAGCAGCATAAAATGTTACTGCTGAGAATGTTTTTTCATTCTAAGTAACTTGATCTTTTCTCCTGAATATGGAAAGAGACTTTCCCTTTATTGGTAAAGTCAGTAGTGCTATGAGAATGTATGTTATCTTTTTGTTGACAGCTATGGATATATTTTCCTAGGTTCATCATGTGATATTTATTTATTTTATTTCATTATTCTTCAGGATTCCTTTGGTATTCTAATTACACCAGGATCTATGTTTTGGTCTTTGCTTTGTTTTCTTTCCATGTGTTTCTTTCCTGTTTTTATCTTTTCTACATTCTATTTCCCTTGCTTCACTCCCCATGCTGTCCTCTCACTCCTGCGTCCCCTATATTTCACTCCTCTTTCTCAAATGCTTTTTTCATTTCTTTTTCGTCATTTCCCAAACAGTTTTTTTCTTTTTTTCTTTTTAGTCTCCTATCATTTAGACATCATTTCTGTGCTTTCTTTCTAGTTTTGTTATACTTTTGGAGCTTCTCTTTGTTTAAATTTCTTTTGGTCATGTTGTCATATTCTATTATAGTCTTCATCTGCTTTGAGTGTTTATTTTCTATGTATATGTTTATGTATTATTTTAGTATTATTTTTATTATTTTTTGAGACAGCGCCTTGCTCTGTCGCCCAGGCTGGAGTGCGATGACTTGATCTCAGCTCACTACAACCTCCGCCTCCCGGGTTCAAGCGATTCTCCTGCCTCAGCCTCCTGAGTACCTTAGATTACAGGCACG